TAATTCAATGTAGTTTATTTACTTATCAGTCCTATATCTCCCAATGTAATTTCAAAACTATATATATCCGTGTATGTAAAGAATTCAGTCCTATATCTCCCAATGTAACTTCAAAAGTATATATCCGTGTATGTAGAGTATTCAGCTGACGAGTTCTACCGAAATTTGATGAATTCATTAAATCCTGCTTTATTAACCTTTATTGCTTGTTTTAAATTCGTATCGGGAAATAAATGTTTCCAAGACTTTGCGTAGGCGGATACGATTAACCGATATGTGCTCAAGGAAACGGCCACAAAGAGATGACAGATTAACTTCCAGTGAGAAAACGGCCAATCAGAAGACGCTGTTTCTCTGCTAATAATAACGAATAATGATGTACATAAAAGTCTATAAATACCTCTTGGTTTCCTCAGTAAACGATCTGTTGCTTGGCCCTTGTCTTCTGTCGTTACATCAGTACTGCTTCTTATACTAATATTACTACTACTAAGAATAATGCGAACACTACTACTACTACTTCTCCAGTCATATTACGAATAGCACTACTTCAATTAATACTACTTCTTTGACTAGTACCACTATTGATACTAAGGTTGATTCTACTACAAATACTGATATCACTATAAATATCAATACCTCTGCCACTGCTGATATTACTACTGTGGTGAGAGCTGTCTACTAGCCAAGTGGTGGACAGTAATTGAGGTCAATGTTTATGTATCAAATATTAGTCATGTTGTGGTGAGAGATGGTTGCTGGCCAAATTGGTTGACAGTAATTGAGGTCAAAGGTGAAGGTGGACAGGCGGTTACAGTTAACATATAGATGAACTGACACAGCCACAAGAGATGCAAGGTTAACCTTGTGTGAGAAACAACCAATCAACAGACTGTATTTTCTACTAACATTGACCTACAATAATGTACATAAAAATCTATAAATACGTGTTGATTTTTCGTAATAAACGATCTGTTGCCTGGCCCTTGTCTTCTGTTGTTACACTACTACTAGGATTAATTTGACAAGCAATATTAATGTTTATACTACTACTATTTGTTATACTGCCACCATTACAATTAATCTCATTACCAATTTTACTGTTCTTACTACTACTAATAATAATATTGCTAGTACTATTATGCTATTACTTCTAATAATACTACTGCCATTTTTCAATGCTACTACTACTGTCAGAAACAGTAATGCTAATAATATACAGATAACATCACAGATGATATTACTAACTTTAATAATACCGCCACCACTAATTCTACTACTGCTACTAAAAGTGCAAGTACTAGTAATACTGCCACTGAAAGCACTACTACCTAAACCGCTGCAGCTACCATTGGCTAAGTATAGTTTGAAGGACACGTCTGAATTTATTGAGAAAGTAATAAATCAGAAGATCAGTGATGAAACAATGATCTCTATGGATATCACTTCCATGTCCACTAATGTCCCTTTATTAGAGACCATCGATTTTATCTGTGAATCTCTTGTAGAAAATGATATAGACGTAGGTATACCACCTCAAACATGACGGGAAATGTTACTCTGGTGTACAACGAATGTGCAGTTCCAGTTTAACAACTAATTTTATCGTCAAGTGGAGGTCGTAACATTAGGCTCGCCTCTTGGTCCTCTCTTAGCCAATATGTCTATGGTGAAATTAGAGGATCGTTAACTCAGAATCGTAATCAATGAAATTTTGTTCGACTGTGGATATATATATATATACACATATATATACAAATGTATAATAATAAAATCGATACCGAGATTTGGTATCGACTTGGTAAAGAAAGAAATGCCCGCAAACTGTGTTGAAGAAACGCACATACGTGACTTTACCGTCTAGAGAAGACACAGCATTGAAAGATAGTGACTAAAACATTCTTTGTAGTAACATTGTATTTCAAATTCGCCTCTCGTTGTATTTCTCCAACACAGGTGAAGGATAAGCTTTCGAGTCTGGACACTTCAATGTGCATCTATAAATTTAACTGTTCATGTGGAGACACTTGCATAAGAAAAAATACTTGACAAGCCCACCGTCGTCTTCTGGGGCATTGTCCGGCTTGATTAGGTAAAGAAGTCTGAAAGTCAGTCAGAAGTTCTATACTGGTTAATACGGAGCACAAAACTGACAAAAATTCAGCTTTTACAATTCTATACAGGGTGCCATTTCAACTCCCTAGGTTGGTACGTCTTCGGCTGCTAAACATAGCTGAAGCAGTTGACATACGGATTTTATGACACACTCTATGTGTTCAAAAAAAGTTTGTTCAGTCTCTATTCCTCCTTTGGCCTTCACCGTCAACCTAAAATAGTTATCTGTCCCGGTTACAGTGGATAAATGTAAACATTATCTTATTTCATTTTATTTGTACTGCTAACTGTATTATCAATGTTATGCTGTGCTGTATTTACACATGTTATTCTCGGTTTCACAATTTATTATTAATATTATGTTATCTAATCGTTATGTGACAATAAAAGTGAAATAATTGTTAGCAGTAATTTATGCTGGTAATGTCATCCAGTTGTTAATACTGCATCGTTGTGTGACATTTAAAATAAACTTATCTAATATGAAAAACGACAATAGTTGTTTTTCAAACAATTGGTTCCCTTTATGAATTTAGATAAAGCAATAAGAAGATGTAATTTGTCTGAATCGTGTAATGTATTTGCGCAACACATTTCGAACAATCTGATCACACATGGACTTGTCATAGGAATATATATGAAATTAATAAAGAAGTGAGAGGTGACAAAATAGACTTAGGTCAAGTTAAAAGGGCATATTCAAGGTTAAAATAACAATGAAGACCACTAAACCAAATAGTACAACTGCTATGGTATCAAAACAAAATTTGCCAAGGAAGGTGTAATGTGAGTTTGTGTCAGCTTTCTTTCTTCCTCATCAAGTTTGTCTTCGGTGCATATTCGTTGGATTCTACTGAAGAGGCACCTTACTAAGGCTCTTTTGTACTAAATGGCTCCAGAAACAAATGGAATCTTCAGAACCCATTAACGGTGAGAACAGGAGACCTAGCTCTTCTATTGCGAAACATATTATAGAGACAGGACATAAAATTGACCTCAACAGATCTTTTAAACCTATCTATAAAAGTGTTTAGGGCGTATCCTAAAGTTTGTGGAGGCCCTAGCAACTAGAAAGTTTAATCCACCTTTATGCGTTCAAAAACAATTCGTCATCACATTAAATCTTCCTTGGTAAATTTTGTTTTAATACCATAGCAGATGTACTATTACCTCTGTTGTTTGGTTTAGTGGTCTTCATTTTTATTTTGACCTTGAATATGTCCTTTTAACTTGACCTAAGTCTATTTTCTCACCTCTTACCTCTTTATTAATTTCATATATATTCCTATGACAAGTCCATGTGTGATCAGACTGTTCGAAATGTGTTGCGCAAATAGTTGTTTTTCCCTCTACCTCTACTAGCATTCACATTCTACCTATACACTCACCGCCGCCAAGATTATCATGACCACCTCTATTGTTATACAATAAATCACACCTCTAATCCAATATTTTATTAACCCCGTTAATTCAAACGTTGGTGGCCTGCTTGAATCTCTGGGCTACCTGAATTTCCATCCGAGACAATGCATCTTATTTTCTTTATTTCTTGTTGTTATAACCATTCAATTATATCCATGGGTCTCCAAATGTTCTCGTGTACATTTTAATTGGTTTTCAACCTATTGTTGAGCATTTCTGTGGGACCAAAGGAAAGTATCGTTGTGAATTATTTCTGCAGACCTAACATCGCTGCGTAACATGATGTACTGGAGATGGCTGCTTTACTTGTAACTCCTGTATGAAGAGTAAATATTATGTAATAAACCACTCTGAAAACTGTGCATAATGAAGCTATTATTATTATTATTAAATGCTTATGACTAATTTTTCATCATGTAAATGCAAAGCCCGATTAGAATTTACCGAAAATACGCATTTGTCTGAATCGTCTACTATTATTAATTACACTACTAATACGAGTACACATATTATTACTAACACTAACAGTAACAATGCTAACTCTACTACTAATATTACTACTGTTAATCTACTGTTATACTAAGCAGATAACTACTACGCATACTAGTAGTTCTCCCTAAAACTACTAATACTCACAATACTATTGCTAGCAATAATACTGTAACAACAGAAGACAAGGGCCAGGCAACAGATCGTTTATTAAGGAAATCAACACATATTTATATATTTTCATGTACATTATTATAGATTATTGTTAGCAGAAAAACACAGTCTTCTGATTGGTTGTTTCTCACTTAAAGTTAATCTTTCATCTCTTTGTGACTGTTTCTTGAATGTCACATCATCTATATGTTAACTATATCCGCCTACGCAAAGTCTGTTGTGGTTGGTTTTTGAATCAGTCTTGTTCATATTTTCTCACGACCAATCTTGAGAACGTAAACACTGACGTCAATTACTGTCTACCAATTCGGCTAGTAGACAGCTCTCAACACAGTACTACTCCCTATAGTAATACTATTACTACTAACGGTAATGGAACTACTAATACTCCAATGACAGAAGACAAGGGCCAAGCAACAGATCGTTTACTGAGGAAACCAAGAGGTATTTATAGACTTTTATGTACATCGTTATTCGTTATTATTAGCAGAGAAACAGCGTCTTCTGATTGGCCGTTTTCTCACTGGAAGTTAATCTGTCATCTCTTTGTGGCCGTTTCCTTGACCACATATCGGTTAATCGTATCCGCCTACGCAAAGTCTGCTGTGATTAGTTGTTGAGTTACTCTTTGTTCTTGTTTTTTCTCGTGACCAAGATTTGGGACGTAAACATTCAAGTAAATTGCTGTCTACCAATTTTGGCTAGCAGACAGCTCTCACCACACTACTACTACCTACTACTACTATTAATAATAACAATATTACTGGTAATAATTATATTACCACTAATACTAATGGTAGTACCAATACTAATCCTACTACCAATGGTACTACTACTTTTAAAAATGACACTATTAACGCTTCTTATAATAATACTATTATTAATATTGGTAATACTTATAGATTTGCTAATATTACTGTTTATATTGATACCAATTCTTCTAACAATACTAATAATATTGATACCACTGCAAAAATCAATAATAATACTAATGCCACAATTAGTACCGACACATCGACTACTGATACTACCAATATTAATGTTATTGTTACTACTGATAATACTAATTATGATACTACTAATAACGAAACTACTGATATTATTACTAAAATTAGTACTTATGCTTGATATAAGAATAACACTTGTGCTCTGTGGTAGAGTATAATTTCATTATGGATAAAATTTATGAGCAATAAATTGTGCTCAAAACGTCATCAGTAAATATTACTGTATAACACTGTGAGACTTTATCAAAATAAATTTTACCCATAATGGAATAATACTTATGCTGCTACCAGTAAAAACAGTAACTCTTCACGTTATAACATCATTTCAACCGATACTACAATTTATAATAATACTAAGATACTACGAATGCAGCTACCATTAACAATACTACTAATGTTTTCATACCGCTACTAGTAATTCTAATTTTACCGATAACAATAATAATACTAATGAAAATTCTACAATCAAGACGACTAATATTACTGGTACTAAAAATACTATTAATTTTTGTAAGGCTACTATTAATACTAATACTAATGTTGCTACTAATAATATAACTCCTGATAGTATTAATATTACTACTAACAGTAATAAAACTACTGATACTACTAATACTATTAATAATAACAGCACAACCTTCACTATAGATATTAGAACAATATCGGAGACACTACTTGGTGTCACTGAGGAAACCTTCATGGAAGAACATTGAAACTCTCTGGAGGTGATGTTCAAGTGAACGTGTACAACTACTCTAGGAAGAAAGAGGAGAAAAAAAAGGAATGGCTCTCAACAGATACCTGGAAGCTAATAGAAGTGAGGAGAGGAGGATGGTGAAAGAGAATATAATTCAATGCAATAAGGCACAGCAGAAGGAGAAGCTGAGATCAGTGTACAGTGTACTGAATAAAGAAGTGGAGAAAAGTGCAAGGAAGGAAAAAAAATTCTACAACACGCTGGGTGGCAACTAAAGCAGAACGGGCAGACTGCAGGTAAAATAAACCTCAGGACATTATATCAAATAACCAGGTCTCTATCGGGAAGAGACCAACCTAAATGATGAAACCAATTAAAGATGTTCAAGGGAACCTAGTTACCAAGTAGGAGAAACAAATAAAACAATGGATTGATCACTTTAAATGATTCTTGAGTCGACCATCACCTGCAACCCACCCAGAAATACCACTACCAACAGCAGCACTCACAGAACTGCCTGCCATTGAACACTGTTCCTCTAAGCAAAATATCTTCCTGGAGAAACTAAGAGATGCGCTGCATTCAGAAATCCTCTTGGAACAAGTTGGATTCAGGAAAAGCAAATCATATGCGGATCAAATCGCAACTTTACATAACATCATCGAATAGAGAATAGAACGGCAGTGAATCTCTAACTCAGCTTCATTGATTTTGAAAAGGCCTTCGACAGTGTTGACTGCGAAGTGATTTGGAAACTACTTCAATACTACGGTGTGCCTGAAGTCTTTATCAAACCCATTCAACAGCTAAATGACGACACCACGTGTCAAGTGATCCACAACGGAAGATTCAGCGAGGCGTTCGAAGTGCGTACATGAGTAGGACAGAACTGCCTATTATAACCGATGATATTAATAATAATGGTGGACTGGATAATACGTCAGACTGTGAGGAGCGAGGAGACAGGAGTACGCTGGACCACCAATGAGAAGACTCTAGAAAATCTGGATTTCGCAGATGATACATGTCTAACGTCGCACAAACTCGAAGACTTGTAGGCGAAAACGAACAAACTGGCAGAAGATGCGAGCAGGTGGCGAAGGCAGGACTGCAGGTGAACATAGAGAAGACGGAGGTGATGAGGATAAGCAACTAACCAACAGCGACAGCAACAACAACCAGCACCAATCACCATCAACGAGAGAGATTTAACAGAGGTTACTTCTATCACTTATCTAGGAAGCATCGTTTCAACTACAGGTGGAACAGATGAAGATGTCAAGGCTTGTGAGAATCGGAAAGGCAAGACACGCCTTCATCAACCTGAAACCAATTTGGAAATCTTCTGCACTCCACCTCAGCATAAATAACAAGATTCGGATTTTCAATGCAAATGTGAACTCGGTCCTTCTATACGGGTCAGAAACTTGCGCTGTGTGTCGCGAAAAGCATTTCCAACAGGTTGCAGACTTTCACCAACAGCTGCCTTCGCTGCCTCCATACAGAAGATCAAACGGCCGGCCAGAAAGAATAAGCAGCAAGAAACTGTGGCTGGGAACAAATAACTAAGAGTCGATTGCTCAAGAAATATGTAGGAGCAAATGGAGGTGGATCGGGTATACATTGAGGAGGCCGCCGAATGACATCGCACGCAATGCAGAACATCACTCGAGTGGAATCCATATGGGAAGCGACGATTGGGTCGTACTAGGGTGAAACTGAGGAGGTCGTGTGTGGAGAAGATGAGAGAGTTTGGGCGATCGTGGATCGAGCTGAAGATGACGTCAGAAAATAGAAGAAAGTGGAGATGTGTTGTTGAAGCTCTATGTCCCACTCGGAACTCAAGCGAACATTGATGAATAAAATAGTAATAATCTGTTTTCATCACATGAAGTCTCAAATAATTGTGTTCCACCTCTGAGCCTGCTTTTTTCTGCAGCTGATCATTAGAAGCATTGTGTCTTATGACATGTTAATTTTAGATGGAATGTTTTAGATTTATTTATGGTTCAAATATAGTTACAACATGTTTGGAGTCAGTAGAAAATTAATAACTAAACTGTTATTGAATTCTTTTCTGTGGAACCTCTCTTTTCTAGATTAATATCAGATTAATTATAACCATAAAATACTTTTTTCTAATCATTTACACTATCAGTGTTTTTTTAATCTTTGAACTACTTTTCAGACTAACTTCCCACTCTTTCGAATCCCTTATTCTGCTGATTTACTGTCTAAGTTGTTTACACCATAGTATGGCTACATTCAAGACACTTGGAATTTTATTCAAATCATAGAATTTATAACCGTAATGACGGAAAGCCTGAACGAAATTAATTAGTTGGTTTTGTTATGCCTGAAGCACTATCCTTCAGTTATATAATAAATAGTTTACAGAAGGTAAACTAGCTATGATTTTTTCCATATCACCATCTCACGGGATAAAACTCCTAGCCTGACGCCACCACATCATTTAGCTTAGACATTGAATCAAACGCTGAAATCATTTAAAGACAGTGAATAAAATCAGCTAAGATATGTCGCCATTTAATTGAATAATTATTGATCTTAGGGATTTTACCCCTCATTATGAAATAAAAGCCAAGTGGTATGTTTATTTTGACACCAATAGTCGTATAAATATTAGCCATGATTTCGGTGGTATCACATTAATTCAAGTGTTTATATACATTGAAGTGCTTGTGTTCATACACAGAAAGCCGTCTGACATTTTTCACCTGCTAACTAAATTACTTTTTGTATCTTAGTAATGCTTGTAATGAAATTAACATTGATACAACATTATTATTATTACCGTTATTTAAACCAGCTTCAAAATAAATGTACAACATCATATTACATTCATTAAAAAAACATAATTCCTATTGAATTGTTTTAATGGTTTAGATGATGGGTACTAGTATCACCACAGAAATGTTTAACTTATTCTTTTCATCATCATCAGAGTAATAAACTAGAGCTTTTAAGGTCAACAAGATTAAGAATAACAGGCTTTCAATCGAAATGAACTGGTTTGTATTTCATCAGTAGGTAAGAGTGAACAAGGTAAGGTTTAATTTTACTGTGTCAGGTTCTAACTCTAGCTGGAGAGTTTCATAATAAATTATTGTACTAATTTAGAAACAGTATTAAGAAACCTAACGATATGGTGTCTTTGAAATTACGGTGTTGTAGGGCTTTTTGATTAGAAATAAATGGATAAAAAGGTATCGTTATCAGTCCACAATAAATCAACGAAAAATGATTCGTCTTGAGCTAGTCATAAATGATAGATTTAGCTTTAAACTTAACGATGATTCTTATCAATGATTCCCTACAGTATCATTTTCTGTATTCACATTACCTTTTCTGTTGAATAATTAATCATACAGCTGTATAATTCATCCTTAACTAAGTCATAGATTAAGTGCACTTTACCATGTCTAGTATTCATGGATCAGTACAGGGGAAATCAGTATTCTTGATAGCATCACCGAAGTCAAACACTTTGTGGAGAAAATGATTCTTAGTTTCCTTTTTAGTGGAATACTTAATGTCATATGTAGCTTTTCCCTTTTTTGATTAGTAATATTTGTCATATTTTGTGTTTGACAAGGAAGAATACTGTTCCCGTACACTTTTAGTGGATATATGTACGTGGTAATAGAAGCTTTTGGACACTGTTTATACAAATTCGAATCTAATATTGTCTGTTGCCTATTTTCTTTAATTTTCTAGACATGTTTCCTGGTTTGTTTTTATTCTTGTTGTGTGCAACTATAGTCTAGCTCGATAGTGTATCATGTAGAATTCAAGTTGTGCATATATTCTATTCGTTAGACTAACAGTCAATCAGATTTTACAACGTCCTTAGATCCCCATGTGGTTTAAGTTTTTATAAAATTAATTTCCATTATACCATTTTGATTATTGCTACTGTTGTAAATGTATAATTTTATCTGTTGCTCTCTTTTTCGGAGTATGCTTTTATGCATCATCGTATGTGTCCTCTCATTTGTCAATTGGGGTTGAGAAAATCGACTACGAAGTTGTCAAACGTTCAATTTTACTAGCTGATCTCATGTAAATATTCACAATCACTGATAGTTCTAAAACACCTTTGTTAGCAAACAGAATGGTTTTTAATAAGCTTTAAAATTAAAAGTTAAACTTAGAAGTAAAAGATAATTATTACACATTTTATTGTGCTCTTTTCATGGACACTGAAATTATTAAAAAACGAGAGTTTTTTTGCAAGTATTTGTCTTAAAAAATGTATATCAGTGATTGCATTTAATGTGACTATTGTATAGGTTGAATTCAGTTTATAACCAGAAGTTTATATCCTGTAAAAATGCATCTAATATAGGGAAACCTTTCAAAGAAATTACTGGTGGTAAGCAGACACACAGTATTTCTTATTC